TTTCCAGGCACGACGAAATTGCCTAATTTATCTACCAAATGAAGAATTTGCCGCCTAATTCCGAGGAATTCAACAAGGAATTAGGTAATCATGACTGAGACCCATCATCCATTGATTCAACTGGGGTGACTACAAGTATAGAATTAATGGGCTGACGTAATCTGCCATGCTGATCCTTTTTACCTCTTCAAGAAATCTCGTCTGGGCCCCACTCGTCGTGGGTCTGGATCACTGCATCCTGCCACATGTCCCCCATGTAGTAGGTTGTGTGGGACCACACCGTAATAACGGTATGTGGTCAGAGTTTGGTATGCCATGGATTGAGATGTAGAGGAGACTTTTAGGTGGTAATTAATCTTTTGATTACGTTGATCAGGAAGATTAAACAGAACTGTATTGAAGTTTGTCAAGATCCATGAATCCCTCAACATCAAGTGGCTATATTTTAATGGGTTCAGTGGGTCCCCTTGACTTTGTTCCCTCTCATGCTCACCTCGTGCCCATAGACTTTGACTTGGTTGAGCTTCACACGCAAACATTCCCTGGACAACTGAAATAACCATGAATCAGATAGACCATAATTTCGGTCTATAGATTTCCATCTCAACTGTTTAATACTGAACACCTGACGTTGTTGAGGCTCCACCTGTTACTTTTTGTTTTGTCTTTAAAAAATAAGTGCTTATTCTAATAAGTGTTTATGAAGTATTTGATGAAAAATAGGGATAGTGTAAATATTTTCAAAATGATATGGTGGGTTAAGATAGGCTAAAAAGAAATAAACACAAAATTTGGGCAGTGTTTAATCACTTATTTTAGACTTACGTCTCAAACGCAAATAATTGCTTATTTTGTGATTCCCACATAAAATAAGTGCTTATTTAAATAATCATTTATTTTTAAGCACTTCCAAAACTTATAATAATATATACCATGTTTATGATCTATAAGACTTGTCTCTTATAGACTACAATCACAATCAACAGTAGTCTAATCCATGATATTATTTATCACCACTTTCTTTAATAGTTTAATTTTATAGGGTTGCTCCTGCTTATACTATAAATTGCGTATTTAACCGAAATATCTGAGGAAATGAGAAGGAAAAGCTGCCAAGAAATTTCATAGAAAATTGAAAGTAGAGTACCCAACCACCATTTTTTCAACCGTTGACAATCCTCCTTGTAGTCGTTGGCGTGTATTTCATTTTTTCTGTCTTGCCTCCTCACGATCTCTCTTTTTTCTTCCTTCCCCATGCACATATAAATTCTCTCTTCCTGCTGGAAAAAGTTCATTCAAGCTTCGAGGAAGACAAAATCAAGCTCTACAATGGCTTCCTCTCCTTCTTCTCAAGCTAGATTTCTTTCGTGCTGTCTTCTGTTTCTTCTCCTTCTTTCTGGGTCCTGCACTGCAAATCGACCAGGGGGGTTGGTGAGCTTGGATAGGTCTTCGACAAACCCAGAGAATTCGATTCCTCGCAGGCAGAATTATGAGCGGAGTTTCAGATTTCGAGGAGAATTGTTCAACTTCTTCCCCAAGGGAACCACTACTCCTCCTTCTGGTCCATCCAAGAGACACAATTCAGTGGTCGCTTCTACACCTCCAAATTGAGTAACCAACCGTGCCAAAATCTTTTCTTTCTTCGCTTCCTTTTTTTTCTGAGATTGTTACGGCTGATCAATGAGGAGTTCTCGATCGATCCTGTGCGACGAGGTCTGGTCACAAGGAGCAGAGTTTTGGGTTTTGTTATTCTTCTTTGTATTGTACATAAACATTTAATTATTTGTTCAAATACTGCATCTGTAACAGATAGATCGATCAATCAATCCAGTAATACTATCGATCATATAGATACTCTTTTCATTAGCTTTTTTCTGGTTCCTGGTGATCAACTTAGAGGATGTGTATAAAAGCGTTATTTGGTTGTGGGTCTATTACGTATTGCATTTATGTTTTTGCTTGTTCAACTATACATCCACCAACCTCGAGTGACACTCACCACATTAATTCTGTATTCTTGACTTTGAAGCTTTGAGTGGCTTTTCTGCAAATATTTTATATCATCCCACGTTTGAGGCTTGACTTCTGGTATCTAGGCCTAACCCCTGTAGCTGTAGTAATCTCATCTCATGAGTTTGAATTCATGGATTACCATTAATTTGATGAAATCAAAGGAGAAATTAACTGACTTATTGATGAACAGATTGACAGTCTCGGGGGGGGGGNGGGGGGTCATCAGTTTGGCTTTTTAATTGATTTTGATCTTGAATTGGCCAAGAACTGTGATCAGAGCCCTGGTTTCGAAACTGGGTTGCACTCAGCAGCAACTGTTGCTAGCTTCAATTTGGACATCAAATAATGTGAAGTTGGACAATAGTTAAAAGAAGACTATTAAACAAATACTTAAAATTGTTTATTAACATGAGAAGACATTCTAATCTTTGAATACTGTTAAAAAGTGATTCATGTCTCCTTAAGGGGTTTATTATGGTTGGTATGTGTTGTTAGGGCTTGGAGGTGATTAAGAACTGGCTGCAAACCGCTGGATCAGAATCCAGTAGGACGTCATTTGTATTTTAATCAATCTGAAAGAGATAGTACTTAATAGTGTTTAGTACAAGACAGCCTGGGGGTTCATGATCCACTGACCTTATAATTAATGGGTCCAGGCTTGGTTTGGATGTGAGCTATAGTAAGGGGAAGAGGTGTTTGGTATAGTGGTGATGCGTTGTTACGTCATATCATATATGCAGTGTCATTTCAATTAAAACATTAAATTTGACATTTTAGTAGAAATAACAATTTTTATTAATCAATTCAAAGAATTTTTAAAAAACATTTCAAGTAAAAACAAAAGCTTTCTTACAAATTATATTGATCAATCCAACCAAACACCTCTTAAAATAATGTGGCTGAGCTGATTTTTGGTAATAGTTCACTGATTTGAAAAAAAAAAATACAAAATGACATTAATGCTCTGATACCTAGTTGGCTAGAGATGTGATAGTGATAGATATACTTTGCTGAAACAAGATTATCAAAATTGAACACTTAGAAGAAGAACGAGTTAGAAGCTATGAGTGGTTTCTTTAAGGCTGTATTTGGTTTAACTAAAAAAAAGAGAGAAAAAAGCAATTTCACAAATTTTGTTAAGAAATTTCCCTCTCAACTTTCTATTTATCTCGTCTTTTCTTTCAAACCAAACATGACCTTAGGGCTAAACATGAAATGAAGATCTCTCATCTCTGTTGTCTAAACATGTGGCAAAGACTTTTTAGGTGGCCTTAAGAAATAAGAAATATTTTAAGTCAGTGGATGAGGTAGAGCCGTACAAGTAAAAGGTGTCTACTGTCTAACAAGGGGAGTTGATGTAACTTAATTTTGATAATAATCTTGAAATGAATCAGATCCAGCTATTTGCTAATTGTAATTTGTCTAGGTTAGCCTGAAATCTGCCGGTGGGAGCTATTTTAGCCGTGAGAAAGAGCTAGACGTGTAGCTTTCATTACCCTCTTAATATTAATAGTCCAAGAGACCAATTAGGTAGGAAAAGAAAAGAAAAGAAATCTTAGTCAAACAGAAGGTGAGATGTAATTACTGAATAAATAAAACTGATGCAGATGGGCAATGGACATGTGGACTTTTCAGCAATGCAAAGCTGGAGGCCCAACTACAATTACTATATTCTCTCTCCAAGCAATTCACAGCAGGAGACCCCAAAAAGAAATGGAAAGGAATTAGTTTAGAAAACTTGCAGGGAATTAGGGAATTTTGATTCAAAGCTGTCGTTAGTTGTTACACTACTATGGACCAACGAGGTTTAGTCATTTTCTTCATTTCTTCTTTTTTTTTTTTTGGGACATTTTCTTCATTTCTTGAGGTAGGACATTTTCTTCATTGGCGGCATTTTACAGTAAATTGAGCCAAAATAATAAGGATAGCCCCAAAACTTTCAATTGCTAAGTGTCCCATCTATGGGGAATCTAGACCCACCATGGAACTTTTCTCTAATCAAACACATGGAATTGAATTGGAATCATTTGGTGTGGACCTTGTGGTGTTTTTTAATCTTTAGTGTGGGACCCATCTAATTGGGGGTTGTAATGCCCTTCATTTAGACAGCTTTGTTAGGGGCTATATCATGAGGACAGTCTCATTGTAGCATTCCTCTTTTTGCATCATGTAATTACAGCAGCACCCTTAGACCTTAGCTTTGTTTCAAGGGTGAATTGCTGAAACCTCCTCTGAAGTTTTTGATAGTTGCTGAAATTTCCTTGAAGTAAGGTAATTGCAATTATTTCCTCTGAGCTTTTTAATACAGTTGTTGTAGGTAGATCCCTTTTGTTAGAATCCTCTAACAAGAAGCATGGAAATATCTAAAATACCCATATAATTATTATTGAAGCTGGTTTTTATAGAAAAAACAATATAACCTTTATGAACAAAAAAAAAAGAATTTAAAGTTGCAACTTTGCTATTGAGTGATTTTATATGAATGAAAAATTTGAAAAATAAATCAATTTCTGAGAAGAGATTGGAAGGATTCTGAGTAGCAATTCATACAAAGAAAAAATTTGGAAAATAAACATTTTAGTCAAAAAATAACTTTATGGGTATTTTGGATATTTTCATGCTGAGTATTCTATCACAGGGGATTTAATTGCAACTATATCAGAAAGTTCAAGGAGATGACTAGAATTACCAAATTTTAGAGGAAATTTCAGCAATTTACCCTTGTTTGGAAACAAAGCACGACCGAGTCAGAGATGGGTCTGTCTCTCCTAATAACGATTTTGTTCAACAAACCCACTACTTCCAATAGGATGATCCTACTATCCGAATTTCCACGCCCACACACTCTCTCAGTAACTAACTCGTAACAGCACAAACACCCTTCACGTTTAAATATATTGAACCCAACTCACTGATCACATTTTGCTCTCAAAACAATCTCCTCTCTCGAGTCTCACCCAAGCTTTAGAGCTCAGTTAGAACTGAAAATGGCTTCTCTTTTCATGGTCTCTTCTTGCAAAGTCTTTCTCGTGCTTATCCTCGTCTCTTACTCTCTATTCCTCGATGTGAAGTCAAATGAATTTGATGTTGGTGACGATGAAGGTTGGGTTGTTCCTCCATCAAAAAATGAGCAAATGTACAACAAATGGGCATCTCATAACAGGTTCCAAGTCAACGACACAGTGCGTAAGTACATTTTAACTCTTAATTCTTGCATTTAGAATGTAAATATTGCATCTGATATTGCACCATGGTTTCAGGTTTTAAGTACAAGAAGGATTCAGTTATGGTGGTGAGTGAATCGGACTATGACAAATGCCACTCGACTCAACCTATCTTCTTCTCCAACAATGGGGATACAGAAATCACACTTGACCATTCAGGCCTGTTCTATTTTATCAGTGGAGTCTCCGGGCACTGTGAGAAGGGACAGAAGATGATCATAAAGGTGCTAGAGGAGCCCAAGAACGACTCCCCGCCTAGCAACCAGAACGGAACGAGCAGTTCACCAGATCAAAATGGTGCAGTTGCAATGGCTGGCTTCCCCGCTTTGACACTTGCACAGTTCATCTTGTCAGTCATTGGGCTCTTCTTTGTCTAGTTATGGGCTTTTTTCTTTGTTGTTTTTTGGGTTAAATTTAGTCTTAGTTCCTTTAGGATTAAGTTAGGTGCCCTATTGCCTCCATCTCATTGAAATGTAATTAGATTTTTGTTGATTTCGAAGTGGAAAGATTTATTAGAATATATATGATTAAAGAACGATTTCTTCAATGGGCTTGTGCTGTATTACCATTAATTGGTCTGTTCTCTTTGTCTCCAGCTTGAGAAAAAAAAAAGGCCTCAAATATAAAGCCAAGATTGATGGGCTCGGCAAGTAGTTATAGCTGTGCATTGGGAATATCTCCGTTAACCCCTTAAAAAAAAAAGATTAGGCCACTTAAACCATAACTCCATTAAGATCTTCAGGATAGCCACTTAAACATTATGCAAAACTAATACAATAGATGTTACAGGTTCAAAATTTCGTCCCATATCGGTTGATATGTATCATATCAGAGCCTTCCCGATACACCCCTAAAGGGGGTGTTTCAATTCAGCAAGTGGTTCAGAGGATATACCGACCTTAAACCAGCCCCTCTGAACCAGTTTAAAAAAAACACACACACACAGACGGACACAAAATAGTACTTGTACAGGCCGATACGCCAACCTTGGTTACGACCTTAATCAGATGGGTGGGAAAGTTGCAATTTTTTAAATGGTACAATTCCTCGAGTTATGAGGAAAACTGTCCCTGCTTCTGTAGTTCTTACATCATCGTTACTTCCCAGGAGTTGCAGGGCGCTCATCCCGTGTTTCAGGTTAACACACGTTAAGGACACGGCTTTGGACAAATACTAGGACTGGGATGTATAGTGAATTAGTGACTAGCTGGAGGCTTTTCAGACAGCAGAATATGGAGTCTGTGGAACAATGTACAATCAATAAGATAAATAAAATGGCATCCAAAATATGACGACCATCCAAGTCCAATGCCAGACAGAAATTGCCACCCAGCCTCCAATGTCATCATTCTTCCATCTAAAAGACAACCCAAGTGCCCCATACAGAAGTGCGCAATAGATGAGCCCATTTCCAAAGTAAGATGCTATGTCAAATAGTAATTTTTATCATATGGTAATGAACCAAGAAAATAAAATGCCTGAGAAAAATTAACAATTTTAAATTTATTACCTCAGAACTCAGATACTTTAGTGATCTGAAAGGGAGATATCTTAAATCATGCTCATAAAAGGATTTTACACCATTCAGTTACATATTTTAACATAAATAACTATAAAAACGAAAATTTTGTGAGCAAGCAAACTGGATTCTCAATCTCTACTCAAAATTGGAACAGACCATGCTGTTCAATAATGCCCATTCTGCTAGTACCTTACAAATTGCCGTTTATCATTTTCACCTTTCTGCTTTCCATAAGGGTTGCTTTCACTGAAACCATTCCGGGTTCCTTCAACTTTACGCATCTTCTTCCTGAACTTGGATGCACTGCTGTCTATGTTCAGATTTACTTTTGGAGGACAGGAAAAGCAAAATGAAGCAGCAACAGCCTGACAACAATAATGATTCAGTAAGAATTTTGTTCCATGTCCATGTATGCTCGTTGGAAGATAGAACTGTTGGATAGTACCTGAAGATCAAGGCGGTGAACATTGAAGATGTCTTTCATAGAATGTGAATTGTATGCTAATATGTACGACCTGTATGCATCCTTAGCAGATTGGTTTAGATAATAGTTGTTGACAACCAGATCCTCCTGCATCAGTTTCCAGGTTGATCCCTTTACTTTAAATGCTAACAAATAATATCAAATAACAAACATGGCAGAAAGACGATACCAGGACTGACTGCACGTTCACCACCTTTTTATGATCATACTCATACTCCTTAATGGGTATTTTGACTGCCTGAAAGTAAATATAAAAGATGAATGGATCAAAATAAGATCCTTCAGTCTAATGTATTTTTTTATTTTATCTTATTTTGAGAACGGTAACTTTAATGGTTTGTATTAAATATGAATGTGTTAGGATATCATAATCTGTACAAAGATCTCTACATTTGATTGTTTAACATATTAACAACTATACCAGAAAAGCCCAAGAGTATTTAACTAGTATCAAATAAGGGTAAAAATCAAAACTCGACTACTAAAGTTCAGAACATCCTACAGTCCAACCTCTCAATTCAATCAACCAATGAAGATAAACATCTTGTTTATGAAAATACTAGACCTTAAGATAACGAAGAAATTGCAACTCCTCTGGTATCAGGAAGAGCAAGCCATGACCTTCTGCACCTTCTCCACGGGCTGTTCGACCAACCCGGTGAATATACTCCTGAAATTGGTAAACAACCAACGGTTAATAAAAGTAGTTTCACAAGGATAAAGAGACTATGACTATGAACCAATAACATGTTAGCAGAGAACAAACACAGGCACCTTAGGGTCATCTGGAGGATCATACTGCACGATCCAGTCCTATGAATGAAAAAGGAAGAAAAGGAGAAGAAATCAAAGTAAGATCAAACAAAGAATTGTAACAACTAACAACAGACCATGGTCAATATGTAGAACAAAGAAACATACCACGCCACGAATATCAAGCCCACGGGCAGCAACATTAGTACACAATAAAATTCCCCTCTCTGCATTGCAGAAGTCAAAAAAGGTGGATGTCCTTTTGACTTGTTTTTGCTGTCCATGGATATCGAAGCAATCCATCTTAATGTATCTAAGAAGGTCTGCATGAAATTTGACCGAGTTACATGAAGAGAAGAAAACCATAACTTTCTTTGATGCGTTCCTCTTCAAGAAAGAATAGAGAACAAGAAATCTCTTGGCACTTGGCACAACACAGTAGCCTTGCTGCAGCCCCTCATTGGTAACCTACATTTACAATAATACTTTTTTGGTTCCAAGAATTACAATAGCTTTTATTAACAATTGAGATCATGAAAGAAGCATGGTATCATGGTATCTCATGATTGAATATTTACCTTTGACCTTCCATCATCAACCCCAATATATACAGGAGTTGTCTGAAAAGACAACCGTGCAAGATCTTCAACCTGCAGTATGAAATATACTCTGAGATTACCAAAACAGGCAGAATGAGTAGTAAAATTTTGAATGAGAAATACAAACCTTAGTAGTCTGGGTAGCAGAGAACAGAGCTGTTTGCCTCTCCTAGCATATCACAGGACACCTCAATTAACTCATGATGCATAGAATATTGACAAAAATACAACTCCACACTTGCAATATTGTACTCTTGTTTTGTATTAATAAAATTACCTTACCTTTCTCAAAAAGAAATGTCACTGTAGTCAAAACAACATGCAATTACCAATCACAAATAAATATAGGTAGGTTTCATCTAATTGTCCAAGAGCATTTCATCATTCTTTCATTAGGCCTATCTTGAATCTCTATTTATTATAATTCTTTTTCCTATAGTACACAAATGTACAAAGTCCCTCCCAAGACCCCCGCATTGGCTGCAGCCTCGTGCACTGGGCTGCCCTTACACAAATGTACAAAGTAGGGTAAGAGCCCATTAGAAAAACCTTTACATTGTGCAACCCTCTACACAGAGAACAACCAAGGTTCAAAGTATTGGTATCACATATAGTAAAGGCAATTTTAGGTATGTCTCAAGCTATGCTTAAGAAACACATGGACATGGTGGAATGATTACAAAAAACATATATATGCCAGGGAAACTCGCATCAATCTCATAAGTACATTAAAAATACCAATTTTAAGGCTCATATGGATATGAATGCAACATAGAAACATAAGAAACACATACTTTAGTAGTTTATATGAAGTAATAATGTAACATTCAGCACACAGGGTAGATAAACATTCCATGCTAAATTTCACCAGAAGATCCATAAATTGCTAAAAATTGAGATAAACTCAATCTTAGATTCTTAATACAAGATTAACCAATGTATAATAGGTAATAGAACCTTCTTATCAACTATTCAATCTCCTTATTCTCCCTTTTTCATCATCATCTAAGCCTTGTCCCAACTATGTGGGATTGGCCACATGAGTCCTGTATCACCGTTTCGTATTGTTGGTGCCATATCTATTGTTAAATCATGTGTGTTTGAATCATTTCTTATTCTTCTACTGAAGTCCTTTCTGGTCTGCCCCTAGATCTTTTGGCCCCTTAAACTTGTAACAGATTCATTTTGTATAACAGGTGCATCTCCTTTTTTTTTATCACTAGGTGCATCTCCTTATTTTCCCTTTAAAAAAAAAATAACCAATCTAGTTCTTCATCTCATGGGCGTCTGCATGATAATAAGGGAGTAGAGAGAAAGTACCAGTCAATCTAAGGGATTGTATCAACACAGTCTACATATTTAATTGCTTTCCATAGTTAATAAAATTTCCATTACTAATAAAAATTAAAAAAAAAAAAACACATGCACACATTAGTAAGATGTTGTATCACCTAATGCCAAAAAAATGAAACTACGATAATGAAAGTCAAGCAACTAGGTTGGCCAAGTTCAAGACTGGTGTTTTATTTTATTTATTTATAAACACTGATCACAACCAAGTCCTAACACAACATCACCTATAACAAATGTCATTTATTTTTGCAGTCTTAGATTAGTTGAAGCTAACAAGGAAATACACAATTTCATATTAGTTGTTTAAGGGGCTGTTTGACAACATGGTTTTGTCGAACACCCACTAAGATTTCACACTAAAACTCAACCAATCGGTTACCTTTGGTAGGATTTTAATAATCTGCCTCATGTCATCCTCAAAGTTTGCTTCCAATATTCTGTCAGCTTCATCAATCATAAGGCACTGCACATCAAATAGTATCTAAGAAAAAAATAGCATTTATACAATAACAGGTAGTAAATCAGAAATCAAGAAGGAAAACTTGATGAAACAAGGCAAGTACTCTGTATTTATGAACTAGAAATAAAAATGAATATTTGAGTTAAAGAAGCTCATGTTTCTGATGGTAATATGAAGTCCTAACAAGATAAAGAATAACATGCAAGACAAAGCAGCTTATAACATATAGGATCATATAATAGGAAAGTGGTTGCTCCTAGAGTTGACTAGAGAATAAAGTCTAAATGACAGTATCATTCATGATAAGATGCTTGAACCAAGAAGGGGACCCTATGTTCCTCTCTCCACCCTGATTCATAAGACAAGTTTCATCTGAAACCCTTACCCATTGCCACATATCCAAAATAACAGACTCTTTGTAACAATTGCTTTGAATTAAAAAGAAAAAAGATATTAAGAACTTTTACAGTTGATATCATTCAGTGAAAACTTCAATCTTAGGTAAGCTATAGGTTGATGTGGAGTATGGTAGTGAAGAGATGGTTGATCAGGAAGGACACCCATTTGATGGGCAGTCTGAATTTGCAAAATTATTCCTCTACATGACAGAAATAACTGGGGTCATCTAGACAGGATTTGACTTGACAAAAGCATCCAGCCAAACAACAAGAGAAGAAGGTGGGATGCATAAAGGAGTATCTTCAATCTGCAGCCGAGGTGCAGAAGATAGGTTCGGGAGCCTATGAAACCATCATGAATTCCACATTCAGAGGATCAGAACAGACAACTAAAGGGGCCTAAGACATTTCCTATGCCAACTAAGCATGATTGGAAGAATTTTTTAAGAGTTTCTAGCAGATAAGGACAACTTTTTGCCCTGAATATCAATAAAAGAGAACATTTTTATAAAATAACCAAAAAAAGGTAACTTTTTTGAAAAATATCAAGGGCAATGACACTGTTCATCGTCTTCCTCTTCCTCTGCCTCTGTGATCTCCTCTTCCGATGCTCAGCTTCAAGAAACCGCTTGTTGAATTAATGGCGGGTCTCGAGTCCGGTATGGTAGATAAAGCGGCTTTAGTGTTGAGCATCCTGGTTTCTGTACCGGATGCAAAAACCGTAGAGGTAGAGATCGTGGAGGTAGGGACATGGCCACCTGCTTGTTCTTGGCGGTAAGAGACAGAATCCGTAACGGTAAACCAGGTTCCCTGTACTGGTAGAGATACCTGCTTGTTCTGAAGGAATCCGTAAGGTTCGTCCATTACAAGGAAATAGAGAACCTGGTTTTCCATTACCGTTACAGATACCTGGTTTACCGACGAAATCAGGCTCGTTAGGAAATCAGGTTTGTCCGTTACCTGCTTTCGTCCGTGCAGGAAAATGCAGGTATCTCAAGATTGCTCGTGCTGGTTTCATCCGTTTCTGGTTTACCGTTACTGATTTATGGTTTTCCGTTCTCTTTTTTGTTTGGGTTTTTAGCAGATAGAGGCAGAGGAAGACGATGAATAGTGTCATTGCCCTTCTTTGATATTTTTCAAAAAAAGTTACCTTATTTTTGTTATTTTATAAAAAAAAATTATTTTTTATTGATATTCAGGGCAAAAAGTTGCCCTTATCTGCTAGAAACCCTTTTCTTAACCATATGATCTTACATTACTATCAGAGTTTTTCAAACCCTGAGAACATTCAGATTTTTTTTGATAATTGAATAAATTTTAGTAGATACTAAAGGTAAGAAGTACAAGCATCCCAAGGAGAGGCATGAGATACTACATCTCCAGAATATTCAGATACAGTTTTCCCTACTTGCTAGAACAAGTTACAAAGATGCCCAAAAAAGACCTCCCCTGGATACCCTTCGCTTGGCCAAAGAATCAGCCACAGTGTTTGCCGACCTGCTTACCCATTTAACATCCACTCTCATAGTTCTAGTCAGCCACTCACTCTTTTGAGGAGATCTCTATATCCCCGTATGGCAGTGTTTCGATTTAACAGCCACCCTACTACCACCTGAGAATCTCCTTCAATTATAAGATGTTCCACCCCAAGCTGGTTAGCAACCTGAATCCCTTGAACAGTAGCTAGTAACTCAGCTCTTGTAGAGTCTTCCATTCCCACCAGTCCTGAGAATAATGAGATAATGTTGCTGTCCTTATTCCTTAGCACACCCCCTACTCCCGAAGGCCCAGGAATTAGCTTGGCTGCTCCCGTCAAAGTTCAATTTAATAAATTTGGCACAAATGCAAAGTTCTGAATATCTGCTGACTTTAGGCCTAGAAGATCTCTTGTTAGGGACTCATTTGATAGTGAGTCTTGATTGTCCAAACAACAAGGCCTACATACTATAGTTATAGGGGATCCAAATTTATACCAGTCCATTATCAAAAGCATTGTATGCCTCTGGGTCGTCCATAAAACCATATTTCAAATGAATATTTTGAAAGCAAGCTATATACACCATGCTTTGCCAGAAAATAAGATGGAATTTCTAGGTTACCTCAAAACACAAAATTTTAATTAAGTAAACAATTACAGGCTAGTTGTTTATGTGACAAGGAGAACAACCAGAATAAATACATAAAGTTGCAATTGTTATTCCTTTGTATGAATTTCTCCTGCAGGCTGCAGCTCCAGAGTAGTTTCTTAAGTTTTCATAATAGCTTGTCCCTTCCCTTCATAGTGGACCATTAAGCATTCATGTTAGGAAGAGGGGTTTTTTTCATAGCAATAACTCTATGCCTTCATAATTTTTGGCTATTGGTGGATGAGACTTCATTTTTCTTTTTGTATGCCCTTGTACATTTTCTCCAATAATTTCCTCCCAAAAATTACCACACAAAAGGCTTCTCATTTCCTTTATTTACATTCCTATTCCATATTTGAGACTGGCCATAAAGACTTGATTAAACAACAACTAAAAACTTCAAAACTTTTATCACCGAGAACAGTAAAATTTATTGATTGTGATAGAAAAAAAAAATGAATATTTACATATAATGCTTCAGGTCCCACCTATCCCAAATTCTAGTATATTACTTGCATCTGTCCCCCAAATGAATGCTCCTTTGTTGTCCCTTGTTCCACCAATGATTCAGCTAACCCATTGATCCAAACTTTAAAGCTATTTTCTTGCATCATAATCTCTTCCCCAATACTCTAATCTACCCATTTGGACCATGACTAATGATCACTGCAGGAGACTGCATATACCATAACGAGATTTCAATCATTGACAAACTATAGCTAGCCCTGACCACCCCCCCCCCAATGACACTTACCCACCCCAAACTCGTCCACATCACAAACAAGTAAACAACATGACTGTGGGAAAGGAAAAGGAAAGACACACTTACCTTCAAATTCTTATATATGAAGCCTTTGGTATTTTGAAGATGGTCAAGAAACCTCCCAGGGGTAGCTATTAACAGATTTACTCCTTTCACAAGGCGCTCTGCTTCTCCCCTCCGAGCTGCACCACCAATGATCATTCCAACAGTTTGTGTGTGGTATTTGAGAAGTTCCTTAGCAACAGCATGTGTCTATACCATGTAAATAGAGAATTAGTCCAGAAGCAGAAATTTTCATATAAAAATATTACAGAAGCTACATGGTACCTAGGTGTTACTAGTTAAAACTTGGAATTGAATATGTTATAAAAATGTTACAGAAGCTATATAAATTCATGCACTGCTTAACTATTTCATAAGCAAGAAATAAAATATATTCACATTTCACAATTTAATTGGCAGCTACGAATTACTGCACATTTTGCCCAACATCTACAATTTTTATTTTACTTGCAAAAAGTTACAACCTTTCAAGAGATCATAAAGCAGCCTGATGCTAGCATAGATGGTAAAGAAAATCTTCTGATGATTGAATATTCTAAAGAGTGAACATAAACACAAGAAAACCTTCTTAAACTGCTTATCCAACCAAGAAAAGACCGATGCAGGATAGACTAAGAGGGGTCCAAAATAGTAAGCCTGGGATTAGATGCATGGCCAAACTGGTTAGATAAGATGTCAATGGGAACTCCTGTGGTGGGTGATAGAGTAGAAAACTAAAAGAAAACAAAAGAGTAAGGAGGGTAGGAGGATATTGCCTACGTCACAGAACCCAAACTTAAGTCTTTTGCATATGATACGATACACACTTTATGTTGGAGCTGGTTTAGTTGTAAACCTTTGTTGATAATTACTAATTAGTGTTTTCTATTGTTTTCATCGACTGGGTCACTGTCGTAAGGTGCAAGTACTAACTTGCTGTGCATTCGGGCCTCTTTCTTCCTTATTCACTATTTTTCAACATTTACCACTACTTTCCTAAAAAATAAACTAAATAAAAAAAATAAAGTTGCATCAGTAGTGTGAATATACTAAAGAGACAACGCTAAATCATAAGAATCTTATAAGCACTTGATTGGATAAATATTTCGTAAGCCCATATTAGCTGAAGAACTATTTCATACATTTTTCAAGCTAAGCATACTGGAATAGGCCTATATATATTGGCTTTTAGCCCTTAGATGGTTAGACCATGGACTTGTCCACATGGACTTTTAGGCCAATCCACCCATCTAAACCATTTTCACTTTCTGTCTCTATAAGCTTTGACCTCCCATTCATTTCAAATCCCTATTGTAATTTCTGATTTAATCTGGATTCAACAACGACACTAGTTTTGCATGAAAGGATGCACAAATACCCAACAACATTCAAGTAAGAATACCAATGTAAGTATGTAATATTCAAGAAATAATACAATATAACTAAACAATGACACAAGCAGAGCTAAATGAATGGCACGCATCTCATGTTAGATGAATAAAAAAGACCACAACTAGATGTCTGAAAGCTTAAACTGTCCAAATACCCAACAACATTCAAGTAAAAATACCACTGTAAGTATGTAATTTTCAAGAAATAATACAATATAACTAAACAATGACACAAGCAGAGCTAAATAAATGGCACGCATCTCATGTTAGATGAATAAAAAGACCACAACTAGATGTCTGAAAGCTTAAGCTGCCCAAATACCCTAACAGAAATTAGTGATATTATGATAATGAACTAGAAACTTAACTTTTCCCTTGATTTTTTTGGTTTATAAGAGACCTAAGAAGGATATCAGGACTTCTACCTGTATGGCAAGCTCCCTTGTTGGGCAAATAACAACAACACCTGTTCCATTACGATGAGAAAAACGGATGTGATATAACAACTCAATAGCTGGCACTAAAAAAGCAAGGGTCTTTCCAGCACCAGTCCTTGCAGCTCCAAGAACGTCCTTGCCTTCTAAAAGCGGTGGAATAGCTCTAGCTTGAATCTGCGGCCAAAAGTGAGATATGAAAAATCAGGTAGCTGATTCTCAAAAAAGATTTTGCATGTGATGGTGAACTGTCAAAAGAATAAAATACTTTTCTAAATACTTTAACCAATTAAAATAAAATCTTATAATGGAATGATATACCAGATAACAAAAGGAGACAAAAAATTAAGTCGGTTAAAATAAACATTGCATAGCAAGTATGCTATCCTATAGCATAGAATTTTGGCAATCAATGCAAAAAATTGGTTACTTTTTATCATTCAATAGGTTGCATTACCTAGTAATATGAGATCAAATAATGATACTTTGGAAAAGAGAAGAGATGATGTATGATCCAGAGTTTTCTTCAAAAAAAAAAAAAAGATGAACTTATTCCAGTAATCAGAATATTTTTCATGGGCAATAATTGGTAAACAAGGATCTCTAACTGAATAGTTCATTCAATGCCTCATTTCAACGAAGTAGATCATATTTTAAAAAGAAATGAACTTCAAACCAATGATTGGAAATAAAGCTGCAAAAGGTAAGTATAAAGCTGCTGAACAAGATCATATAATCAAAGCTACTCTTTTTAGTTAAATAACCACATTGTTCCATAAACGTTGGAGGCGTACGACTATGAGATTCAGAAAACTAGCTTGTTCATGTCTAATTGTCTTTTAATAAGGTTTCTTGTTGAAAACCAGCCAAAGTGCACAAATGGAACAGATGCTATTTTTTTCAGCTGAGGAAGAAAAGAAGTAACTGTTTAAAACTTTAAATCATAGAACCTATATGCAAACGAAACCCGTATAACAAGACCCAAGTCTAGGATAAGCGAATTTGACAGCAAAAGGCCAAAAACTGGTACAGGGGTTGGACTATGAAAACAACAGTTGGGTTGAAACTTGAAAGCGTGAGCTAACTGTTCAGGTAGGTTGTCTGTTCAACAATGATTTCAACTTTTGAATTAAACAAATTTTTTGATTGGTCTTTTTACCAGAAATTGTCTACGAAAATATCAAATTGTCTCGCTAGATAAATTCTCTTATTTTACTTTTGTATTTGTACCCATTAACTCCCCCAACACTATGGAAAGCCAAGTACTTGGTTCAACCTGAAACCCGTGATAAGAACTCCTAGGGCATCGAACCGCAGTGAAGTGAAAGAAAATAAATGGCTACCTCAGTCATTTTATCAAAGCCCATGTCTTGAATGGCTTTCATGGTGGGTTCAGAAAGGCCCAACCGAGAGAAAGACTCAGTGCTCATGATTCCTGATCCAGCCTGCAACTTCTTCTTCTTCTTCTCCTCCGTGGCATCCTCGGCTTTCCTCTCGTCGTCCTCACTGCTTTCTTCATCCTCAGTCGAGTCTCGATCCACTTCTTCATCTTCTGCCTCTGCTTCGGCTGCTACTCTTGCGTCTTCTTCTTCTTCTTCGTCTCCGTCTTCAATCTCTCGATTGGTTTTCACAGCTTCGGAGTCTGCAAGTGCTCTCTTCTTAGCCCTCTTTCTCTTCCTCTTCTTCTTCTCTTCTTCGTTTTCACTGTGAAGCTTTCCTTCTGGAACAGCCATGGCGTTCTCTGTTCCTTTGCTTCTTGGAACGAAGTAGAGGGAGGTGCTACACTCACCAAAAGAGAAGGAAGCCCAGCCGTTTGTTAGTTTTTCTAGGGTTTTCGGCTCGGTTCCCACTTCCCGCGTTCCTATTTGTCGAGGGCCCGAGGCCCTGAAGACGGTCGAGCCGCCCATCTTTGAGCATCAGCCAGGAATTCGGATTTGGTCTTTCACAAGACCGTCCTCACAGCCCCAGTTGTGAATTGGGAATATCTTCCATCAATAAAAACATAGTACCGATATATTCACAATGTACGGCTGTAAAACGCTGTGAGGACAATTTTGTGAGACCAAATTCGAGTTAATAAGAATTTCCAAACCCATACGAATCCGGATACTCACAACGCGTTCCAGTCGCACGTGGGGAATATCTTGTTATTCATAGAGAAATGTTCTCAATACATGTTAGGATGGGGCTGTAAGGTTGATGCGAGGTGCGTTTAGTGATCTGTTACTCACACAGGACACCTCACAACGACCGGACCTCAATAAAAATAATATTTTAATATAATTTTTAAAATAGATTAATTTTTTAAAAAATATATCAAATAAGGACAAAAATAATGTTTATCTTCATCCTCCTACAAACCATCCATCAATGTCGTCGCTTGCTGCCACCTCCGGCAATGCCTCTACCCACCTCCGCCCACCTCTGCCCCAGCCCTGCAAATCTCAATGACTACCATCCACCAGTGTTGTTGCCACCGCCTCCGCCCACTTCTACCCACCTCCGCCAGCCCTACAAATCTCAATGGCTATCAACCACTAGCACTGCCACTGCCACCTCCGACAATGCCGCCTTTGCCCACCTCCACCCCAACCCTGCGAATCTCAATGACTACCATCCACCAGCACCGCCTCTGCCCACCTCCACCCCAGCCCTGTAAATCTCAATGACTACCATCCACCAGTGTTGTTGCCTCCGCCCACCTTCAGCAACACCAATTAGACAACATGAGGTGGCTGGCAACGTTGTCGAAGGTGGGTAGAGGCATTGCCGGAGGCGGCACTGGAGGGTGGTGGTCATTGAGGTTTGCAGGGCTGGGCTGGGGTAGAAGTAGTTTGGAGGAGGAAGAAGAAGAACATTGTTTTTGCCCTTATTTGATATATTTTTAAAAAAGTTAACCTATTTTAGAAATTATATTAAAAGTATTATTTTTATTGATATCAGGGCCCAAAAGTTGCCCTTATTCACGGGAGATGTTCCTAATACATGGTGGATGTGCCTGTGAGGCACCCATTCGTGAGGAGCAGATCCCGTCACGCCCTTGTCAGCTATAATCCCTAAATAATAACACATAAGTATGAGAAATGTTCCCAATACATGGTGGGATGTATTTTGTGAAGTCGGTGTGAGGCGCCTTGTGTAAGGTTCATATCCGATCCCGCGTTCAATAAGGAGCAAATCTCAATTCAAAACAAGTCTGGATTTGTTCTTCACACATAGCACCTCACACCGACCTCACAGGCACATTCCATCATGTATTGGGAACATCTTCTATACTTATGAATCATTATTCATGAGAGATATTCCCAATACATGGTGGAATGTGCCTATAAGGTCAGTGTGAGGTGCATCTAGTGAGGAACATATCCCAATTCCTCTAAAACATGAACTACGAACTAATACAGGCCCACAGGAGCAACAATGCCAATAACAATTGCTATTTCTTCTAATACTAGGAATCGTGATTCATGTTTTTGGTTTTCTAAATATAAGGGAAAATTCCTGATAAGTACCCTCTAAAACATGAACTATGAACTAATACAGGCCCACGGGAGCAGCAATGCTGATAACAATTGTTGTTTCTTCTAATACTAGGAATCGTGATTAATGTTTGTGGTTTTCTAAATATAAGGGAAAATTCCTGATAAGTACCCTGTACTTTGGCTCGAGTGACAATTTGGTCCCCAAACTTTAAAATGCGATAATTCAATAACCAAACTTTCAAAACGTGACAATCTAGTACCCGAACTTTCAAAATGTGACAATCCAGTACCTGCCATTAACCAGTTCGTTAATAAGTCGTTAAGTGACATTTGAAAAGTAAAAAATGCCCTAAGAATGCCATCTAATTCTCTTTATGAACCACCCAAACATTGATAATAAAATGAATAGTCTCAAATTATAGATTCTTCTAAACAGTCACCAACTTTTTTTGAATAGAAGATACTAGGATTTGGGACTGTTCAGTTTTTTATCAACATTTGGATGGTTGATAAAGAGAATTAGATGGCATTTAAAGGGCATCTTTTACTTTTCAAATGTCACTTAACGGACTAGTTAACGACAGGTATTGGATTGTCACATTTGAAAGTTTGGGTACTGAATTGTGGCATTTTAAAGTTCGAGGACCAAATTATCACTCAAGCCAAAGTACAGGGTGCTGATCGGGAATTTTCCCTAAATATAAACTCAGAAAATCAAAGTTGTTGAATTCAAATAGAGTCTAGAGTTTGGTGAGCTCTCTGTTTGAAAAAAATAAAATAAAAATAAAAACAGTGTTCCTTTGCTTAAGAAATAAATTCTAACGTATATATACCTGGCTACAAATTGATGAGGTGGATATAGCTCAATAATTTCATGCTTTTGGTTAGAAGCAGGAGCATATGAAAATTTTATATTACTATCATGTACTTTGGGTCTAGTGTCACTTTGGTCCCCGAACTTTAAAATGTGTCAATTAAGAATCCAAACTTTCAAAACATGTCAATCCAGCACCTGCTGTTAACGGACCATCAATTATGTGTATAATGTGGTGACATATGTGAATTAAATATCTTGAAAATACAAAACTACACTTCAAAACATTGGCACTGAGGGGGTCCCTTCTTGCAAGGAAAAAGGAAGTAAGCAATAGCCAACAAGGATACACATGTAATATTCTACACAGACTCCTATCTCGTTGTCTCGGATTCAAATTTGGATATTGCCTGATTCAATTCGAATTCAATCCATTTACACCCCTATTGGCTTGTGCCTGCCCTCATGTTTGAAGCCTTACCCTTTAATATGGTTGTTAGGTGATGGACCAGAATACAAAATTTAACCATGAGTCATCATCAATAGTTGATGGATGAGACTAACTCAATGACATCCTTCATCGTGAATTCAGATAATAACCCATGGCCTAGCTCAATCACTTCAATAAGATGCAAAGAGAACATAGTGCACCTGAATTAATGCCATACACAACACTGCTCTTTTGGCAAGTATACATCCCACACTAGTGGTTACAAGACACTAGCGCCATTTTGGTTCAATTCTCATTCTTTCTCATGTTTGTCTAAGACGAAATTCTAAAATGGGCAAAATGAGAAATTATTGCTATGAATATACTGTTTTTTTTTTCCTAAAAATGATTTTTCCCAAACTAACAAGTGCCCTATGTTCATTTTCATTCTTCCCCAAAAAAAATCTCTTAGGTCTCCAAAATCGTCGGCATAGATGTTTACTAGCTTGTTGCACAACTCTTTAACACTACCAACCTAGGTCATAAACTACAAAAAGGTTTAGGTGGGCATTTTGGTAATTGAATGCATTTTGTCACCTGGCTTGACAACTAAGGGTATTTGTTGCAAAATAAAAGTTTAGAGAGTAGTTGTCACTAACCCCATCGTATCGGTAGGTCTTTGTAATTTACCCAAAAAAAACATAGAATGTGAAATTAATCACCACTAAACTAAAACAACAAGATAAAAAAACACTTACCACTAGGGCTGTCAATGGGCCGGATCTACTTGATGGACCTGAATTGATTATTTTATTAAATATATAATATTTTCTTAATTTTTATATAATTTCATCACATTTTATAGTTGAAATGGTAAATTTGATAGATGATAAATAAGATAATTAATATTAGTTACAAATGTTTAATTTATTAAGATATAAATAATGTAGTCTTTTTCTAGCATTTTTATTAAAGTTATATTATCAAAATTTAAATATAATAATCAATTTGGAACTGTTTCTACCTAGACCCCATCTATTGAACCTTACCACCAAAAGGTTAAGACAAATAGGTTCAACCAAAAACCAAAAAACGAAAAGCCAACCATCAGAAATATCTTATCGGTATTGTGGAAGGTGAAGGCCATTATGGAATAGATTTGGCCCCAAGATTTCCTTGTTAGTTTTATCATCAACACTATTTAGGCTCCATTTGGTTTGTGGGATGGGATGGGACAATATAGAATATTTTGGAATGTTCTTCCCTTCCCATGGTTGATTTGTGGGATGTCATGAGATGGGATGGGAAAATTGTGCCATTATAGATCCCAATTCTTGGGACGTAGAATCCCACCATTTTGGTGGGAAAACAAGTGGGAATGAAGGGGGGAAGTTTGTTTGACAATAAAAACCATGTACCTTGTAGCATTTCTAAGAGTTAATATTAGACACATGACCCATTAATAAATTCTTATTTTTAAAATTATATTACTAAGATAATTTAATCAAAATTAATAAATAAAAATATTAATCAATTAAAAATAATTTAATAATTAACTAATATTTCAGATTAAATATTAATATTATTAATCAATAAATAAATATTAATATTAATAATTAAAATTAATAATTAATATAAAATTAATAATATAATAAAATACTAAATCATAATAATATAGTTAATTAATTAATAATTAACAACAACATATTTTATTATTAATTAAATAATTATTTTATTATTAATAATTTAATTAAAATAATTAATCAATGAAAAGGTTAGTACTAAATTATTAAAATTAATAATTAAAGCATAGGTATTAATAAAATAAAATACTAATGATTAAAATATTAAGTAATGAGAATAATTAACTAATTAATATTATGTAATAACTAATTACAGTACGTTTGGACTCGAAGGAATTTTCTCTTCGAGTCCATTAAAGTTTTGGCATGTCATTCGATGCTTCACCTACTATTACCTACAACCAGTTAAAAATGTTATGACTGACAACATTAGTTTTAAATAAAAAATTGATAACTTAAGTTAAATTACTGACAAAAAATTTCAAAGCCCTCACATTCTCATACTCTAACCTTT